ATATATATATATATATATATATATATATATATATATATGTATATGTATATGTATATATTTATATGTGTATAATCTATTTGTATGTATCTTTTATTACGTGTAGGATGAATTTCACCCATTCATTGAGGCATTATTACCATACGTCAAATCATTCTCGTACTCTTGGTTTAACTTGCAAGCTGCTAAACGAAAGTATTACAAGAAACACGAGAAGCGCATGTCGTTGGAAGAAGAAAGGCATTGTAAGGATGAGCTGCAGGTAATCGCATATACATATCCCATTTAGTACGCTTAAATAGATGTAAATAATATATACATATATAATTTCTTTGATAGAATGAAAAAACAGAAGTGAAACAGAAATGGGCGTCGCGACTTTTGGGTAAACTACGAAAGGATATAACACAAGAAAGCCGAGAGGACTTTGTTCAATCGATTATTGGAAAACGTAAATCCATTTGTGTGCTTTCGAATCCCGATCAAAAAGGAAAAATGAGACGCATCGACTGCCTAAGGCAAGCCGACAAAGTTTGGCGTCTTGATCTTGTTATGGTTATACTCTTTAAGGCTATACCATTAGAGAGTACCGACGGCGAACGTTTGGAAAAGAATCCTGAATGTCTCCATCCCGGTCTGTGTGTCAATCCCTATCACATAAACGTTTCCGTGAGAGAGTTGGACTTGTATTTGGCGAATTTCATCAACACGCACAATTCATCAATAAATATGATTGCCAGTTCATTGTCTAGCACCCGATCGGCCCAAGTTGCCGTTTGCAGTCTACACCGAAACAATAATATACCAGTAGACAGAAAAGACGATAATGACATTGATGCGAAAACAAAAGGTCTTCGCCATAATCCATACAATGGTGTTGTTTGCAACGATATTATCCTGGCCACCGGAGTTTTTTCATCGCAGGAGCTCTGGACACTCTCTAAAGGTAATGTGTAAAGCATGTGGAGTAGGTCTTTGCAGATTTCTGGTAGGGAAGGAGTTGGATTTTGGGTTCCACTCAAAATATAGACTCCAGCTGTAACGGTGTACTTTTTACATTTGTGTATCCTGAGCCCATTGAAAATGGAAAATGAGGATCTTTGCAGATTATTCATAGAGAGTGGGTTATTCATTCAAAAAAATAACATTCTGTAAATAGCTTACGTACAAGTCTATTATTATTATACCCTGAACCCATTTTAGATGGGTTAATGGTTTAGTTAAAATGGTTTTGTTATAATGTATGTACATATGTAACAGGCAGAAGAAAGCGTGGCAGACCCCAAAAAGAGTATATATTGATGCCTATTTTGTTAATCGGGAATTGATTTCGTTTAAACTCAAAGGGCATATCTGTTGGGATCATCGGAATCCTTGGAATAAG